CACTGACACACACATATATTATCTCTCCCCTCACTGACACACACATATATTATCTCTCCCCTCACTGACACATTATCTCTCCCCTCACTGACACACACATATATTATCTCTCCCCTCACTGACACACACATTCTCTCCCCTCACTGACACACACATATTCTCTCTCACTGACACTGACCACACACATCTCTCTCACTGACACCACACATATTTTCTCTCCCTCACTGACACACACATTCTCTCCCCTCACTGACACACACATTCTCTCTCTCCCCTCACTGACACACACATATATTATCTCTCCCCTCACTGACACACACATTCTCTCCCCTCACTGACACACACATATATTATCTCTCCCCTCACTGACACACACATATATTTTCTCTCCCCTCACTGACACACACATTCTCTCCCCTCACTGACACACACTGACACTCCCACTGACACACACATATCTCTCTCCCCTCACTGACACAACACATATCATTATCTCTCCCTCACTGACACCACACATATCTCTCCCCTCACTGACACACACATATATTATCTCTCCCCTCACTGACACACACACATTCTCTCACTGACACAAACATATTCACCCTCACTGACACACACATATTATCTCTCCCCTCACTGACACATTATCTCTCCCCTCACTGACACACACATATTATTCTCCCTCTCTGACTCACTGACACCACATTCATCTCTCCCTCACTGACACACACACACATTATCTCTCCCCCCCTCACTGACACACACACATTCTCTCCCCTCACTGACACACACATATATTTTCTCCCCCTCACTGACACACACATTCTCTCCCCTCACTGACACACACATATATTATCTCTCCCCTCACTGACACACACATATATTATCTCTCCCCTCACTGACACACACATATATTATCTCTCCCCTCACTGACACACACATTCTCTCCCCTCACTGACACACACACATTCTCTCCCCTCACTGACACAAACATATTATCTCTCCCCTGACTGACACACACATATTATCTCTCCCCTCACTGACACACACATTCTCTCCCCTCACTGACACACACATTCTCTCTCCCACTCACCCACATTCTCTCACACACAACACCTATTATCTCTCCCCTCACTGACACACACACATTCTCTCTCCCCTCACTGACACACACATATTTCTCTCTCCACTGACACCACACACATTCTCTCTCCCCTCACTGACACACACATCATTCTCTCTCTCACTGACACACACATACATTATCTCTCCCCTCACTGACACCACATATTCTCTCTCCCTCACTGACACACACATATATTATCTCTCCCCTCACTGACACACACATTCTCTCCCCTCACTGACACACACATATATTATCTCTCCCCTCACTGACACACACATTCTCTCCCCTCACTGACACACACACTTCTCTCCCTCACTGACACACACTCTCCCCTCACTGACACACATTCTCTCCCCTCACTGACACACACATTCTATGACACACACATATATTATCTCCCCTCCTGACACACACACACCCCTCCACTGACACCACCCACATTCTCTCCACTGACACCACCCACATTCTCTCCACTGACACCACCCACATTCTCTCCACTGACACCACCCACATTCTCTCCACTGACACCACCCACATTCTCTCCACTGACACACACACATTATCTCTCCCTCACTGACACACCCACATTCTTCTCTCCCCCTCACTGACACACACATTCTCTCCCCTCACTGACACACACATATATTATCTCTCCCCTCACTGACACACACACATTCTCTCCCCTGACACCACACACATTCTCTCTCCCTCACTGACACACACATTCTCTCTCACTGACACCCCACTGACACACTGACACACATTATCTCTCCCCTCACTGACACACACATATATTATCTCTCCCCTCACTGACACACATTCTCTTCCCTCACTGACACCACCATATTCTTCTCTCCACTGACACACACATTCTCTCCCTCACACACCACACACATTCTCTTCCCTCACTGACACACATATATTATCTCTTCCCTCACTGACACACACATTCTCTCCCCTCACTGACACACATTCTCTCCCCTCACTGACACACACATTCTCTCCCCTCACTGACACACACATTCTCTCCCCCTCACTGACACACACATTCTCTCCCCTCACTGACACACACATTCTCTTACTCTCACATCCACCACCCACATTCTCTCCCCTCACTGACACATTATCTCTCCCCTCACTGACACATTATCTCTCCCCTCACTGACACACACATTCTCTCCCCTCACTGACACACACATTCTCTCCATTATCTCTCTCACCACACACATTCTCTCACTGACACACACATATATTATCTCTCCCCTCACTGACACACACATTCTCTCCCCTCACTGACACACACATATATTCTCTCCCCTCACTGACACACACATATGTTCTCTCCCCTCACTGACACACACATATTCTCTCCCACTCACACCCACACACACACATTCTCTCCCCTCACTGACACACACATATATTATCTCTCCCCTCACTGACACACACATTCTCTCCCCTCACTGACACACACATATATTATCTCTCCCCTCACTGACACACTATCTCTCCCCTCTGACACACACTGACACACCATTCTCTCTCCCCTCTCACTGACACCACCCACATTCTCTCTCCCTCACTGACACACACATTCTCTCCCCCTCACTGACACACACATTCTCTCCTCCCTCACTGACACATCTCTCCCCTCACTGACACACACATCCCCTCACTCTCTCACCCTCTTACTGACACACACATATATTATCTCTCCCCTCACTGACACACACATATAATTCACTGACACACACATTCTCCCCCACTGACACACACACATTCTCTCCCCTCACTGACACACACATATATTATCTCTCCCCTCACTGACACACATATATTATGGGCCCCCACTGACACACATGCAACTACTCATGAACTGACACACACATTCTCTCTCCTCCTGACATTGCACATGTCTCTCTCCCCTGAGGTTTGACACAGGCTCTCCCCTCACTGACACCACAAGACAACTGACACACACTTATTCCCCTCACTCCACTCACTGACACACTCACAAATACAGTTATCTCCCCTCACTGACACAGCGCATTCTCTTTCACTGACACACACAGTAGCTTCCCCTCACTGACACAAAGTCATTCTCTCCCCTCACTTACACACACTTTATGATCTCTCCCCTCACTGACACACACAACATTCTCTGGTCTTCGTGACCATGAGTCAGTTCATCTTTGTATTACCTTCATGATCATGAGTCAGTTCATCTTTGTATTACCTTCATGACAATGAGTCAGCCCATCTTTGTATTACCTTCATGATCATGAGTCAGTTCATCTTTGTATTACCTTCATGATTATATGAGTCAGTTCATCTTTGTATTACCTTCATGACAATGAGTCAGCCCATCTTTGTATTACCTTCATGACCATGAGTCAGTTCATCTTTGTATTACCTTCATGACAATGAGTCAGCCCATCTTTGTATTACCTTTATGACCATGAGTCAGTTCATCTTTGTATTACCTTCATGACCATGAGTCAGTTCATCTTTGTATTACCTTCATGACCATGAGTCAGCCCATCTTTGTATTACCTTCATGACAATGAGTCAGCCCATCTTTCTATTACCTTCATGACCATGAGTCAGTTCATCTTTCTATTACCTTCATGACCATAAGTCAGTTCATCTTTGTATTACCTTCACAACCATAAGTCAGTTCACCTTTGTAATAGCTTCACAACCATAAGTCAGTTCATCTATGTATTACCTTCATGATCATGAGTCAGCACATCTTTGCAATAGCTTCACAACCATAAGTCAGTTCATCTTTGTGTTAGCTTCACAACCATCAGTCAGTTCATCTTTGTGTTAGCTTCACAACCAAAAGTCAGTTCATCTTTGTATTAGCTTCACAACCATAAGTCAATTCATCTTTGTGTTAGCTTCACAACCATAAGTCAGTTCATCTTTGTGTTAGCTTCACAACCATAAGTCAATTCATCTTTGTGTTAGCTTCACAACCATAAGTCAGTTCATCTTTGTATTAGCTTCACAACCATAAGTCAGTTCATCTTTCTATTAGCTTCACAACCATAAGTCAGTTCATCTTTCTTTTAGCTTCACAACCATCAGTCAGTTCATTTTTGTGTTAGCTTCACAACCATCAGTCAGTTCATCTTTGTATTAGCTTCACAACCACCATAAGTCAGTTCATCTTTGAATTAGCTTCACAACCATAAGTCAGTTCATCTTTCTATTAGCTTCACAACCATAAGTCAGTTCATCTTTCTTTTAGCTTCACAACCATCAGTCAGTTCATTTTTGTGTTAGCCTTACGTCCACAGCTCTTAGGACACAAGAGAAAATCTTACACATATCAAAGTAAGTAAAAGTTCACAGAAACAGTTGATTGACCTCACTGAAATACACATGAAATGTATTCAAAAGAACAAAATCTCAAATGACATAAACTATACTCACCAAACAAGAAGGAAGGTGATCACGATAGATGACTGGGTACTTGCTTTCCTAAAAAATATCAAACAATCATCTATTAAGGGTGTGCTATAGTTACAGCTACAGGTATGACTACAGGTACAACTAAGCTATGACTACAGGTACAATTAAGGTATGACTACAGGGACAACTAAGCTATGACTACAGGTACAACTAAGGTATGACTACAGGTACAACTAAGCGATGACTACAGGTACAACTAAGGTATGACTACAGGTACAACTAAGCTATGACTACAGGTACAATTAAGGTATGACTACAGGGACAACTAAGGTATGACTACAGGTACAACTAAGCGATGACTACAGGTACAACTAAGGTATGACTACATGTACAACTAAGCTATGACTACATGTACAATTAAGGTATGAGACTACAGGTATAACTAAGCTATGACTACAGGTACAACTAAGCTATGATTACAGGTATAACTAAGCTATGATTACAGGTACAACTAAGCTATGATTACATGTACAATTAAGGTATGAGACTACAGGTACAACTAAGCTATGATTACAGGTATAACTAAGCTATGATTACAGGTACAACTAAGCTATGACTACATGTACAATTAAGGTATGAGACTACAGGTATAACTAAGCTATGACTACAGGTACAACTAAGCTATGATTACAGGTATAACTAAGCTATGACTACAGGTACAACTAAGCTATGATTACAGGTATAACTAAGCTATGATTACAGGTACAACTAAGCTATGATTACATGTACAATTAAGGTATGAGACTACAGGTACAACTAAGCTATGATTACAGGTATAACTAAGCTATGATTACAGGTACAACTAAGCTATGACTACATGTACAATTAAGGTATGAGACTACAGGTATAACTAAGCTATGACTACAGGTACAACTAAGCTATGACTACAGGTACAACTAAGCTATGATTACAGGTATAACTAAGCTATGACTACAGGTACAACTAAGCTATGACTACAGGTACAACTAAGCTATGACTACAGGTACAACTAAGCTATGACTACAGGTACAACTAAGCTATGACTACAGGTACAACTAAGCTATGACTACAGGTACAATTAAGGTATGAGACTACAGGTATAACTAAGCTATGACTACAGGTACAACTAAGCTATGACTACAGGTATAACTAAGCTATGACTACAGGTACAACTAAGCTATGACTACAGGTACAACTAAGCTATGACTACAGGTACAACTAAGCTATGACTACAGGTACAACTAAGCTATGACTACAGGTACAACTAAGCTATGACTACAGGTATAACTAAGCTATGACTACATGTACAACTAAGCTATGACTACATGTACAATTAAGGTATGAGACTACAGGTATAACTAAGCTATGACTACAGGTACAACTAAGCTATGACTACATGTACAATTAAGGTATGAGACTACAGGTATAACTAAGCTATGACTACAGGTACAACTAAGCTATGACTACATGTACAATTAAGGTATGAGACTACAGGTATAACTAAGCTATGACTACAGGTACAACTAAGCTATGACTACATGTACAATTAAGGTATGAGACTACAGGTACAACTAAGCTATGACTACAGGGACAACTAAGGTATGACTACAGGTACAACTAAGCTATGACTACATGTACAATTAAGGTATGAGACTACAGGTATAACTAAGCTATGACTACAGGTATAACTAAGCTATGACTACAGGTACAACTAAGCTATGACTACAGGTATAACTAAGCTATGACTACATGTACAATTAAGGTATGAGACTACAGGTATAACTAAGCTATGACTACAGGTACAACTAAGCTATGACTACAGGTATAACTAAGCTATGACTACAGGTACAACTAAGGCATGACTATAGGTACACCAGAACAAACAGATCTATGTCAACACCATGTCTACACAAACATATCTATGTTTCACCAAGTGTAAGCAAACAGAGCTGTGTAAACACCATGTCTACACTAACATATTTATGTCAACACCATGTGTACATAAACATATCTATGTTAACACAAACAGATCTGTGTTGACTCCATGTGTAAACAAACAGAATCTTTGTTAAAACCAAATTTACACAAACAGATATATGTTAACACCACATGTACACAAACAGATCTATGTTAACACCACGTGTATACATACAGATCTGTGTTGACACCATGTGTAAACAAACAGAATCTTTGTTAACACCATATGTACACAAACAGATCTATGTTAACACCCCCCGCAACAAACAAAACAACACAGCCACTGGGCACCTGTAGCCTCTCTTGTGTGTTGCCTTCAATGAAAGCCCTGAAGGTGTTGTAGTGACAGAAGGGTCCTGCCAGGATCCCCTGGAAACTCAGCACAAAAGAAAAGTACTCCAGCAAACTGGGCATCTGCCTGTGGAGAGAGGACACACAAGTCATACTGCTGTAGCCATAGTGACATGACTCTATATATTGTCAATCACCTGTCTGTGGAGAGAGGACACACAAGTCATGCTGTTGTAGCCATGGTGACATGACTTTATATGTTGTCAATCACCTGTCTGTGGAGAGAGGACACACAAGTCATGCTGCTGTAGCCATGGTGACATGACTCTATATGATGTTAATCACCTGTCTGTGGAGAGAGGACACACAAGTCATGCTGTTGTAGCCATAGTGACATGACTCTATATGTTGTCAATCACCTGTCTGTGGAGAGAGGACACACAAGTCATGCTGCTGTAGCCATGGTGACATGACTCAATATGATGTTAATCACCTGTCTGTGGAGAGAGGACACACAAGTCATGCTGCTGTAGCCATGGTGACATGACTCTATATGTTGTCAATCACCTGTCTGTGGAGAGAGGACACACAAGTCATGCTTCTGTAGCCATAGTGACATGCCTCTATATGTTGTCAATCACCTGTCTGTGGAGAGAGGACACACAAGTCATGCTGTTGTAGCCATGGTGACATGACTCTATATGTTGTCAATCCAGGCAGTGACAGTATTGTGTCCAAGTCAAAAAGACATTTGGTTCAACTCGGTGCAATGAGAAATCACATTGTCATCATCATCAGTTCTCGTTATGCCTAGTGGCACATGAGGCTTCAGAGAGGACTTTCCATGTTTTCCTGTCCTGTTTTCCATGTCAAAGATGCTGCACTCAGGTCACTTTCCATCGTTCGTCTCCATGTTGTTTTTTGGGCCCCTGTTTTCTCTTTCCCTCTGGTATCCATGTGAGAGCTGTTTTGGAGAGCTGTTTATCAGGATTCTTCTTGGTTTGTGACTTGAAATAGTTTAGTGTTTGAGATTGTTTCTGGCCAGAAAATTGTGATAATTCTACGTAGACATGTGTGGTGGAAGGTGGACAGCTTGTGTGCATCCTTTTTAGTCATTCTCCAGCATTCCACTCCATAAAGAAGAACTGGCAAAATGATGCTCTTGTAGAGTCGGAGTTTCATTTCTCTGCAGTAATTGTTGGATTTCCAGATTTGTCTCATCCTTCTAAAAGCAGCTCTAGCTTTGTTCAGACGTGACTGTATGTCCTCTTCGGTCTCTCCCAGTAGGGACACCACACTGCCAAGATATGTGAAATCTTCTACATTTTCAAGTGTTTGGTTATTTATGGTCACTGGTTGTTGGTTTGGATTGCTTGTCATGATCTTAGTTTTCTTTGTATTTACTCTCAGTCCCACCATTTCTGCTGTGCTGTGTAGTCTGTTACTTTTCTCTTGTGTATGTTCATTTTTATGTGATAGGAAATGCTATATCATCTGCAAAATCGAGGTCCTCAAGCATGGTGAATGGAGTCCATCGTATGCCTTTCAATGTCTTGTCTACTGTGTTCTTTAGTATCCAATCAATCACAAGGTTGAAGAGGAGAGATGACATAACACATCCCTGTCTTACACCTGTCTTTACTGGGAAAGATGTAATTTTTTATACTGCAGGAAAAGTCTTTATAAAAGAGAGCAATTATGTTGACTATTTTTTCTGAAATTCCATAATGTTGTAAAATTTTCCATTTTCCAGTTAAATAGCCAGGACATACAGGGTTATATAATAATGACATATCCACCTCACATAGGGTTATACAAACATTTGCACAACACACCCGGTTATACAAAGAGTCCAACATAAAAAGGGTTATACAAACATTTGCACAACACACCCGGTTATACAAAGAGTCCACCAACCACGGGGTTGTGCAAAGAAAGCCACCACAGACCAGGGATACAAACACCACACAGTTATACTGTCAGAGATGAGCAAGAAAACAAGAGTGATAGGCTGTAAAACACAAAAGAATTATTGTGAAAGACAAGCAGCAGCTGACTAGGGAGTTCAGACACAAGCAAGAAGCAGCACTGACCTGACCGCCCATTTCTGTCGCTCCTGGTCCAGTTGTTTGCCATGTTTGTGCAGCAGTCGCCAGTCACTGATACTGAAGGCTAGCGATGTCAGCTTCTGGGTGGTGATCATTAGTGGACTGTGGAGCAACCAACACAACATGACCCACAAGGACTAGAACCAATGTTCACACACACACAAAACATCAACACTTTCCACCAACACTTCTGCATCAGCCATGTAGAACAACCAACACAACATGACCCACAAGGACTAGAACCAATGTTCACACACACACAAAACATCAACACTTTCCACCAACACTTCTGCATCAGCCATGTAGAACAACCAACACAACATGACCCACAAGGACTAGAACCAATGTTCACACACACACAAAACATCAACACTTTTCACCAACACTTCTGCATCAGCCATGTAGAACAACCAACACAACATGACCCACAAGGACTAGAACCAATGTTCACACACACAAAACATCAACACTTTCCACCAACACTTCTGCATCAGCCATGTAGAACAACCAACACTTCTGCATCAGCCATGTAGAACAACCAACACTTCTGCTTCTGCCATGTGGAACAACCAACACTTCTGCTTCAGCCATGTAGAACAACCTAAACTTCTGCTTCAGCCATGTGGAACAACCAACACTTCTGCTTCAGCCATGTGGAACAACCAACACTTATGAATCAGCCACGTGGAACCACCAACACTTCTGCTTCAGCCATGTGGAAAGTATTAGTTCTGGTTTGATGACTAAATACAGCACTTGGCTGGGAAGCACTACAGGTTGAAGACATTTGAGAGGGGAAGAGGGAGAAGGGAAGCTCTCTGTGGCTAAATGGTTCTACCACCTTTCTTAGGGCCTGAATGTTCTGTGTTCATTTCACGACTGTCAGTGTGTCATTTTGTTTGTGTGACATTTGGTTCATGGATGTCATTTGGCTTATCAGTGTTATTTGGCTCCTTAGTGTCATTTGGTTCATGTGTGTCATTTGGTTTATGGATGTCATTTGGCTTATCAGTGTTTTTTTGCTCCTTAGTATCATTTGGTTCATGGGTGTTATCGAGTTCATAAGTGTCGTTTGATTCATGGATGTCATTCGGTTCATGGGTGTCATTTAGTTAATGGGGGCCATTTGGTTCTTGGGTGTCATTTGGTTCATGTGTTGTAGCACAGCAGCCTTTTTTGTGTACGCTGTCACACCCAGGTTCGTCTTTTGTTTGCTACAGTTGATGTCACACCCAGGTTCGTCTTTTGTTTGCTACAGTTGATGTCACACCCAGGTTCGTCTTTTGTTTGCTACAGTTGATGTCACACCCAGGTTCGTCTTTTGTTTGCTACAGTTGATGTCACGTATGTGTTTTGTACTCACTAACTGCTTCTAGAATGTTCTAGTACGGCTCAACATGTTTACTTTGTGACGTATGTGTTTTGTACTCACTAACTGCTTCTAGAATGTTCTAGTACGGCTCAACATGTTTACTTTGTGACGTATGTGTTTTGTACTCACTAACTGCTTCTAGAATGTTCTAGTATGGCTCAACATGTTTACTTTGTGACGTATGTGTTTTGTACTCACTAACTGCTTCTAGAATGTTCTAGTACGGCTCAACATGTTTACTTTGTGCATTTTCACATGGGATTTTCTCAATGCGTTTTGATTGCATGAGAGTCTGCACCAAAATAAACTAATTGGGTTGACACGTGTCCTTTTAGAGAGTCAGTACGATAAGGCCCTCGTTCTTTGATATGGTACATCAACGATTGCATCAGATGCTATGTATTTAAATAGGTTATTCAATTGCAAATAGCTCTCTGTACTTGATGGTTCTAGAAAGGAATATCCAGATTACTAAGACCTGTTGATTTCGCTCCCTTTAACTAATATGCCATATCCTACCCTACCTCCTGACAAACAAGTGATGACGTCTCTCTGTCACAGTGTGTCACTGTTACAAAGATAGTGAGGATCACTGCTAGAGCTATAGAGTTAGTGCTTTCTGCAACACTACTGGCAGCAGCTAGGCATTCTACACTGAGAGGCTGAGCCATATGTGAAGGCAACAGTACATCTTTCTATTCAACACATACACAACACATCACATCCACAAAACAACACATCACATCCACAACAGTACATAAAACGTGCTATGTTGTATGTAAAACAAAGTTGTACATTAAAGTTTGATGCTGTACATTAAATATCCAGAAACCATGAGTTGTTAACCCTATGGCTCGGTACTATGGATATTGCAACCCTTCGGCCTTGATTCAATGATAGGTACCGTAAATCTGGGAGAAATGTGGCTTTTCTGCCTACCCCTGGGAGTGAACCCGGACCACAAGGAGTTCGTCATCCAGTCACCGCGATGTCAGGTTTAACCAACTACGCTAGAGAGCCGGGCGATGCTGTACATAAAACTTACTATGTTGGATCATAGCAAAGGTGTTCAAAGTTCTCCAGCAGCCGCAGCACATACAAAGTCAACATGTAGCCTAGAGCAAAGCAGAATACAGCCCTGTGGAGTACAACATATGCATCACTGCCTGTCCGTGCAGGATATCCTCTAACACATGTGTTATTATCCGTCTGTCAGTGTAATATTCTGTCTAACACATGCATCACTGTCCGTCTGTCAGCGTAATATTCTGCCTAACACATGCACCATTGCCTGACTGTGCAGAAAATCCTGTCTAATACATAAATTATTGTCTGTCTGTCAGTACAATATACTAACACATGCCCCACTGTCTGTCTCCTGAGACAGGCCTTCTCTAGATGCCTAATATGTCTGTCTGTCACTGAGGCAGGCCTTCTCTAGATGCCTAATATGTCTGTCACTGAAACAGGCCTTCTCTAGGTGCCTAATATGTCTGTCTGTCACTGAGGCAGGCCTTCTCTAGATGCCTAATATGTCTGTCTGTCACTGAGGCAGGCCTTCTCTAGATGCCTAATATGTCTGTCTGTCACTGAGGCAGGCCTTCTCTAGATGCCTAATATGTCTGCCTGTCACTGAAACAGGCCTTCTCAAGAGACCTTATATGGCTGTTGTGAAGCATGAACATTCTCAAGCACAAGCTATATGCTGATGAAGGTTTTCTGACTGAAATGTTAATTGTGTAAACTGTGATTGTGTTTAACAGTGAAACTAGTGGGGGCTGAGTGGTCTCAAGGCATGACCTCCGCCTCGAGTGCTGTTCAGACCCCGATGAAGGCTAGGATTTTTTCATGTGGACTTCTAGTAACTTTCCCTGGTCTCTGGGTAGTCTTCTTCTTCTTCTTCTTCTTCTTCTTCGTTCACCAGCTGTACACTCTGGTAGAAAGTTCTGGTTGTTTGTCCACTTCTGAACTGCAGTCCTGCTCCAGAACCTGAGTTTTGCGTGTGCATCTGTTTTACAGATCTGATTCACTTGAATGCAGACTGCTGGTTCCTTGCCTCTCAGACAGATGCACTCCGACTTCAAAGAAAGCTCCCAATTAGTCGACTCTTACTACATGCTTTTGGGTAGGCAGAGGGTCTATTCTTGTTTTCCCCACGATGGGGCCCCAGAACCCACACGGGGATCTGGGTAGTAAAATTAGACACCCATGTGTATTTCTTCACATGTAAAAACAATCCCTTGGCAGTTGAAAATTAAAAATTAGTAATAGGAAATCCCTTAGCCGTTGGAAATTAAAAAATTCCCTGGCAGCTGGAAATTTTGCCCAGGCAAAATTTTGAGTTAAAAATCTACCCAAAGTAGTTCTGGATCCTCACCGGTGTTTTGGAGTTTGTGTACTACGCTGAGATTCTTCAGACTCAGGCTTGAGTTAGAAGTAGAACGGAGCACTTATGGGTTACTACCCTTGTGCCATAATGTTGATATCTTGTTCAAAACAAACCAGTGAAGCTAACTAGTGATACTTGTTCAGAATGATTTTGTTGCGGAAAATTTAACTATTTAGGACTAGGATGTCTATATGATATGCTGCTTCCGGTTGCAGCTGATGGATGTGCTACTTCCTACAGTCATGGGACCTACACTGCATGCAGTCGTGGGACCTAGGTTGCACTCTCTCGTGTGAGGTAGATGGGTTGGGGCTAGGGCCAGTTGTAGATGTTTTAGGGTTGTTAAAAGGGCGCACATCATGGAATTTGGAACATTCAATATCACCGGCAGCTGACAACACACAAAAAAAATTGGTTGGGGGGGGGGGGGGGGGGTAAAAGGATGCTATTTTGCAATTTGTTTGTGTGAAACTCAATGTGCATTCGGGCAGGACATACTGACAATTGTAGTACTGTGGGGGATGGTCCTACAAATGGTCAATCATTCTAGATGTATACTGCTGGGTTCACGCATGCCTTTACAATCACAACAATTGTCCATGTTAGTAAATCTAGAGAGAGGTTGAAATGCGGCAGCAGCAGCAGAGACAAGAGACTATTGTTGTGGTAACACCATTGCATGATTATTACCACAACATCTAATGCTATGCAGAATGCCATGATGTTGCAGGGAAAGCAGTGCTGCTCTCCCTGTCAGGCACTGATGCTGCTAATTCCAGGAAATTGATGGCGAAGAAGACTGAACACACAAGTCTCAAACACAAGTCACTGGAGAGATGCCACTGGAAGAAGAAAAGTGCCAAAACCTTGGCAATGCCTTGGAAGACACATTAGACAGTGGGACAGCCTCCTTTTACCACCCTCAAAAATATTGGACTGTCCCATGAAGTCATCTGAGGTGACATATCGGGAAAGAACAGAAATACTTTCTTTCTGACATCCAATCAACCTCTCAGCAGATTACCCCTGCATTAACATATGTAACATATTCCGACTCTTATCATGGCTCCCAAAAGAGTACAAACAGATGCATTCCATCCCATCTATAAGATAGGTCATCCTTATAAGGACACCAGACTACAGACAACTGCCATCAACAAAGTGACAGCCCTGTCCTCCACAGGACAAAGCTTTGATCACCTGATCTCTACAGCCAACACACTCCCAGCCTGGCTAGCAACCTTTCACCTCTGAACTCTCATTCTTTTAGTGACCACAAACTTGGCAGGTGTTTGCTGAATGCTCCCATTCAATCAACCATGCTTATAATGTTTGAGCTGTCTAGATTTACACTCCAACAAACATTAAGCTATCTAGATTTACACTCCAACAAACATTAAGCTATCTAGATTTACACTCCAACAAACATTAAGCTGTCTAGATTTACACTCCAACATTGTCTGATCTGTCTAGATTTACACTCCAACATTGTCTGATCTGTCTAGATTTACACTCCAACATTGTCTGAGCTGTCTAGATTTACAACAAACAAAAGCCTGTCTAGATTTACACTCCAACAAACATTAGGCTATCTAGATTTACACTCCAACATTGTCTGAGCTGTCTAGATTTACACTCCAACATTGTCTGATCTGTCTAGATTTACACTCCAACATTGTCTGAGCTGTCTAGATTTACAACAAACATTAGGCTGTCTAGATTTACACTCCAACAAACATTAAGCTATCTAGATTTACACTCCAACATTGTCTGAGCTGTCTAGATTTACACTCCAACATTGTCTGATCTGTCTAGATTTACACTCCAACATTGTCTGATCTGTCTAGATTTACACTCCAACATTGTCTGATCTGTCTAGATTTACACTCCAACATTGTCTGATCTGTCTAGATTTACACTCTAACATTGTCTGATCTGTCTAGATTTACACTCTAACACTGTCTGAGTTATCTAGATTTACACTCCAACATTGTCTGAGCTGTCTAGATTTACACTCTAACACTGTCTGAGCTGTCTAAATTTACACTTCAACGTTAAGCTGTCTAGATTTACACTGTCTTTGCGCTGTCTATATTTACATTCCAACACTGTCTGAGCTGTCTTGATTTACACTCCAACATTGTCTGAGCTGTATAGATTTACACTCTAGCACAGTCTAAGCTGTCTAGATTTACACTCCACTACTAACAGTATTTAACCAACAACATACTACAATGTCAAGTGTAATGGCAGAACTAAACCAACAACACACTACAATGTCAAGGGTAATGGCAGAACTTAACCAACAACACACTACAATGTCAAGAGTAATGGCAGAACTTAACCAACAACACAACTACAATGTCAAGTGTAATGGCAGAACTTAACCAACAACACACTACAATGTCAAGTGTAATGGCAGAACTTAACCAACAACACACTACAATGTCAAGTGTAATGGCAGAACTTAACCAACAACACACTACGATGTCAAGTGTAATGGCAGAAACTTAACCAACAACACACTACAATGTCAAGTGTAATGGCAGAACTTAACCAACAACACACTACAATGTCAAGTGTAATGGCAGAACTTAACCAACAACACACTACAATGTCAAGTGTAATGGCAGAACTTAACCAACAACACACTACAATGTCAAGTGTAATGGCAGAACTTAACCAAAAACACACTACAATGTCAAGTGTAATGGCAGAACTTAACCAACAACACACTACAATGTCAAGTGTAATGGCAGAATTTAACCAACAACACAGAACAATGTCAAGTGTAATGGCAGAACTTAACCAACAACACACTACAATGTCAAGTGTAATGGCAGAACTTAACCAACACACTACAATGTCAAGTGTAATGGCAAAACTTAACCAACAACACACTACAATGTCAAGTGTAATGGCAGAACTTAACCAACAACACACTACAATGTCAAGTGTAATGGCAGAACTTAACCAACAACACACTACAATGTCAAGTGTAATGGCAGAACTTAACCAACAACACACTACAATGTCAAGTGTAATGGCAGAACTTAACCAACAACACCCTACAATGTCAAGTGTAATGGCAGAACTTAACCAACAACACACTACAATGTCAAGTGTAATGGCAGAACTTAACCAACAACAACCTACAATGTCAAGTGTAATGGCAGAACTTAACCAACAACACACTACAATGTCAAGTGTAATGGCAGAACTTAACCAACAACAACCTACAATGTCAAGTGTAATGGCAGAACTTAACCTTAACCACTTGAGACATGGAAAAGAAAAGAAAAACCAAATATGTGTTCACAAGAAGACAGTTACAGGGTTAGTACTTACACCTGCATGTGATTTTGAGGAAAGTACTTCAACAGTGCATAGCAAACAAAGACTTGAAACAGAACCAGCCATGTAGACCTGAAACATATGTGGCTAATGAAGACAAATGTCAGCACTGTTATATGTTTACATATAGGTGTTTCCATTATCAACTGTTTGAAAGTGTTTTCACTAGCATATGTTTATATGTATAGGTGTTTTCACTGTCATGTGTTTATATGTATAGGTGTTTTTCCCTGTCATGTGTTTACATGTTCAGGTGTTTTCACTGTTATCTGTTTATATGTATAGGTGTTTTGACTGTCATGTGTTTATATGTGAAGGTGTTTTCACTGTCATGTGTTTATATGTTCAGGTATTTTCACTTTTATGTGTTTATATGTGCAGGTGTTTTCACTGTCATGTGTTTACATGTTTCAGGAGTTTTCACTGTCATGTGTTTTTATGTTCAGGTATTTTCACTGTCATGTGTTTACATGTTCAGGTGTTTTCACTGTCATGTGTTTACATGTTCAGGTGTTTTCACTGTCATGTGTTTACATGTTCAGGTATTTTCACTGTCATGTGTTTATATGTTCAGGTATTTTCACTGTCATGTGTTTATATGTTCAGGTATTTTCACTGTCATGTGTTTACATGTTCAGGTGTTTTCGCTGTCATGTGTTATATGTTCAGGTATTTTCACTGTCATGTGTTTACATGTTCAGGTGTTTTCACTGTCATATGTTTACATGTTCAGGTGTTTTGACTGTCATGTGTAAACTGCAACACATTTCGAATGAAGCTATGCGGGTGATCCTGGGATGTACAAGGGACAAGTAGAACGGAGCACTTGTGGGTGACTAACTTTGTGCCACGATGTTGATCCATTGTTTAAACCTATACTACTACAACTCCCATGCATCTCTGGGCCACAAATTAAAGTATTTAACATTGTAACCATGGACAACAGAACACATCATACCAGCCAATCATGAACCACAGCAGGTAAAGTCCAGACAACAGACAGTACAGCAGTCGCCATGCTGGTCTGCCCAGACTGTGGGGTAAGAAAAACCTTAACCCGAAGCCCAACAACAGACCAGTCAGCTGTGCCACAACAAAGTTGAGCTGTGGAAGACAGAAATATACACATAAATGTGAAACATGAAGGCAAAAAAAAAAAAAAACATTCATAATCTTAACAGTTAATGCCTTAATAACTTCAGTGGGTGGTGAACTGATGCTTGACAGAGGGTTTGGTTAACTCACTACACTCAGAGGAAAGGCTAGACGGACCTATAACCAGATTGTGACCGGTACCTTCAGTATAGGAACTCTTCGGTGGTTGATGAAGATGAGGACGGAGCACATATGGGAATTTCCCGAGTGCTGTAATGTCAATTCTTGACTTAACTAACTAACTACAGTGGTTATATAACAGTTTACATGATCACTGGGATGCTTATATCACAGTTTATATGATCACTGAGGTGGTTATATGAACACTAGGGTGTTTATATCACAGTTTATGTGATCACTGAGGTGGTTATATGACCACTGGGGTGTTTATATAACAGTTTATGTGATCACTGAGGTGGTTATATGACAGTTTATATGATCCCTGAGGTGGTTATATGACCACTAAGGTGTTTATATCACAGTTTATATGATCACTGAGGTGGTTATATGACCACTGGGGTGTTTATATCACAGTTTATGTGATCACTGAGGTGGTTATATCACAGTGATCATATAAACTGTGATGTAACCACACCAGTGATCATATAAACTGTGATGTAACCACGCTAGTGATCATATCAACTGTGATGTAACCACGCTAGTGATCATATCAACTGTGATGTAACCACACCAGTAATCATATAAACTGTGATGTAACCACACCAGTGATCATATAAACTGTGATGTAACCACACCAGTGATCATATAACCACCTCAGTGATCATATAAACTGTGATATAACTACCTCAGTGATCATATAAACTGATATAAACACCCCAGAGATCATAAAAACTGTGATATAAACACCTTAGGGATCATATAAACTGTGATATAAACACCCAAGGGATCATACAAACTGATATAAACACCCCAGTGATTGCATCAACTGATAGAATTGACATGAGTTGGTAAAGCACCTATAATCCACTGGGGGATAAAGGTTACAATGACTTGACATGAGTTGGTAAAGCACCTATAATCCACTGAGGGATAAAGGTTACAATGACTTGACATGAGTTTGTAAAGCACCTATAATCCACTGAAAGATAAAGGTTACTTGGCATGAGTTGGTAAAGCACCTATAATCCACTGAGGGATAAAGGTTACAATGACTTGACATGAGTTGGTAAAGCACCTATAATCCACTGAGGGATAAAGGTTACAATGACTTGACATGAGTTGGTAAAGCACCTATAATCCACTGAGGGATAAAGGATACAATGACTTGACATGAGTTGGTAAAGCACCTATAATCCACTGAAAGATAAAGGTTACAATGACTTGACACGAGTTGGTGAAGCACCTATAATCCACTGGGGGATAGAGGTTACAATGACTTGACATGAGTTGGTAAAGCACCTATAATCCACTGAGGGATAAAGGATAGAACTGACATGAGTTGGTAAAGCACCTATAATCCACTGGGGGATAAAGGTTACAATGACTTTACATGAGTTGGTAAAACACCTATAATCCACTGAGGGATAAAGGTTACAATGACTTGACATGAGTTGGTAAAGCACCTATAATCCACTGGGGGATAGAGGTTACAATGACTTGACATGAGTTGGTAAAGCACCTATAATCCACTGGGATAAAGGATATAATTGACATGAGTTGGTAAAGCACCTATAATCCACTGAGGGATAAAGGATACAATGACTTGACATGAGTTGGTAAAGCACCTATAATCCACTGAGGGTTAAAGGATACAATGACTTGACATGAGTTGGTAAAGCACCTATAATCCACTGAGGGATAAAGGTTACAATGACTTGACATGAGTTGGTAAAGCACCTATAATCCACTGAGGGTTAAAGGATAGAATTGACATGAGTTGGTAAAGCACCTATAATCCACTGAGGGATAAAGGTTACAATGACTTGACATGAGTTGGTAAAGCACCTATAATCCACTGAGGGTTAAAGGATAGAATTGACATGAGTTGGTAAAGCACCTATAATCCACTGAAGGTTAAAGTATAGAATTGACAGGAGTTGGTAAAGCACCTATAATCCACTGAGGGATAAAGGTTACAATGACTTGACATGAGTTGGTAAAGCACCTATAATCCACTGAGGGATAAAGGAGAGAACTGACATGAGCTGGTGAAGCAACTATGGATAAAGGATAGAATGACCCGTGGATTCCCGAGTCTACTGGAATGTCTGGTGACCTGAGTCAGTATTTGGGGCTGCATTGACTTAAGCAAGGAGATGACATTTCAGCCTGAGTCAATATCATGTCAGTGTTGACTTAGGGGTGGATGGACTAGTTTGGTTCAAGAAGTGTCAGCCCAGCACGGGGCGAATTGTCATACCTAGTGCGTGGATGGCAACAGTAGCATGAAAATATGGGTTTCTCAATGAAGGGGAATCATGCATAACAGGAGTGTCTTGTGTTACACGGAAGAGCTCGCAGCGGCAGGCATGTGTATATACTGGGGTAGAGTTCAGTTGAGAAAGGGAGCTCGACAGTTGAGTTGAAAGTGTTTGAGGAGGAAGCACTCGTCAAAGACTGTTCTAGAGAACAGTTGAGTTGAAAGTGTTTGAGGAGGAAGCACTCGTCAAAGACTGTTCTAGAGAACAGTTGAGTTGAAAGTGTTTGAGGCGGAAGCACTCGTCAAAGACTGTTCTAGAGAACAGTTGAGTTGAAAGTGTTTGAGGCGGAAGCACTCGTCAAAGACTGTTCTAGAGAACAGTTAAGTTGAAAGTGTTTGAGGCGGAAGCACTCGTCAAAGACTGTTCTAGAGAACAGTTGAGTTGAAAGTGTTTGAGGCGGAAGCACTCGTCAAAGACTGTTCTAGAGGATAGTTGAGAGTGCAGTCTAAGGAAGAGAGATCCAGCTGGCAGAGTTGGGCCTAGAGAGCTAGAGTACTTGAAGAAGAAGCCGTCTTGGGTGAGACGCATGTCTGATGGTCATGATCGCTAGTGAAACAAGACAGAAGAGATGTCAGTGACAGCTGTGGTGAAACAAGACAGAAGAGATGTCAGTGACAGCTGTGGTGAAACAAGACAGAAGAGATGTCAGTGACAGCTGTGGTGAAACAAGACAGAAGAGATGTCAGTGACAGCTGTGGTGAAACAAGACAGAAGAGATGTCAGTGACAGCTGCGGTGAAACAAGACAGAAGAGATGTCAGTGACAGCTGTGGTGAAACAAGACAGAAGAGATGTCAGTGACAGCTGTGGTGAAACAAGACAGAAGAGATGTCAGTGACAGCTGTGGTGAAACAAGACAGAAGAGATGTCAGTGACAGCTGTGGTGAAACAAGACAGAAGAGATGTCAGTGACAGCTGTGGTGAAACAAGACAGAAGAGATGTCAGTGACAGCTGTGTGCTAAAGAGGACTCAGAGCTGGGGGTTCTGAAAGTCATCGTGGTTCCTTCCACCAGACTGATGTGCTGCGTGCATATTCTGGAGATCCAGCCTTGAGAAGTTTTCCAGTCAGCCTATGTGACAGTGTCTGCTACGCATAGAGCAACAGAGGTCAAGCTGAGTAGGAGATTAACTTGTTTAGCCTTACAGCGAGCCCTGAAGTGAGGGTAGCTAGAGACCTAGGCACTGTAGTGTTCAGTTTAGAGCGTTATGACAGTTAGTCTAGGCTGTCAGAGAGAGAGCTGATATCCCAGTTTGAGTGAGTGAAGTATGGGACATTCATTTCATGATTAGCCAGTGATGTTTATGATTGCTTTGATTGCAATTTTCTATGTGCGGGTTTGTGTATACCCGATCGTCGTTGTGGAATAAAATGTACACATATGGCGGCAACATGTCATTAAGTTTCCTGACATTTTGTGCGTAAGCTGGGTACAGCAGTTTAGAATGTCAATCATATACAGAACACCTGCACATGTGCAGCCTTCCCACTTGAGCACACAACAGGGATCAACGATAGAATGACTTAGCAAGAGTTGGTGAAGCACCTATACTCCACTGGGGGATAAAGGATAGAATGACTTAGCAAGAATTAGTGAAGCACCTATACTCCACTGGGGGATAAAGGATAGAATGACTTAGCAAGAATTAGTGAAGCACCTATACTCCACTGGGGGATAAAGGACAGAATGACTTAGCAAGAATTGGTGAAGCACCTATACTCCACTGGGGGATAAAAGGCAGCAGGCAGAGGAAGAGGGGAAGGAGAAGAAAAGGAAGAAGAAAAGGAATGAGGACTCAGTACCAGGTGACAGATGTTCTAAACAGATTCATGAACATTATCACCTGGGTCAGGTGTAAACATTTTGTGAGTGCTGCCGACAGGTGACATCAACACTTCACAGGTGAACCCAATGAACTTTAGACAGCTAAAAACATCAGGTTAGCTTGTGTGTGTGAGAACCCACAGAATGTTCCCAGGTCTATGTCACATGATGCTTGTCAATATGTGTGTGTATACGTGATCTATATGTGCTGATGTAAATATGTATTCTCAGTATACAACAACATTGTGCTTAGATAAATAAGTATTCTTAGGGAACAACATGGTGGTTAGATAAATCCACATTCTCAGGGAACAATGTGGTGGTTAGATAAATACATTGTAATGTGGGATATTTTCACCCTGATTGAGAAGGTTGGGGGGAAAGCCCCTGGGTCACCATAAAACCGAGAGAAGCCAGATACTCAGATTAACCGAGGTTTTTAAGGGAAAGAACGACCAAGTGTTACAATGGGGAACCCAAGGACAGGTCGCCACGTGGTTCAATAAATACACATTCTCTGACCACTAGAAGCTGGGATACTGACCACATCACCAACTAACTGCCCACTAGAAGCTGGGATACTGACCACATCACCCACTCACTGCCCACTAGAAGCTGGGATACTGACCACATCATCCACTCACTGCCCACTTGAAGCTGGGATACTGACCATATCATCCACTCACTGCCCACTAAAAGCTGGGATACTGACCACATCATCCACTCACTGCCCACTAGAAGCTGGGATACTGACCACATCATCCACTCACTGCCCACTAGAAGCTGGGATACTGACCATATCATCCACTCACTGCCCACTAGAAGCTGGGATACAGACCACATCATCCACTCACTGCCCACTAGAAGCAGGGATACTGACCACATCATCCACTCACTGCCTACTAGAAGCTGGGATACTGACCACATCATCCACTCACTGCCCACTAGAAGCTGGGATACTGACCACATCACCCACTCACTGTCCACTAGAAGCTGAGATACTGAGCACATCACCCACTCACTGCCCACTAGAAGCTAAGACACTGACCACATCACCCACTCACTGTCCACTAACAGTTGGGATACTGACCACATCATCCACTCACTGCCCACTAGAAGCTGAGATACTGACCACATCATCCACTCACTGCCAACTAGAAGCTGGGATACTGACCACATCACCAACTAACTGCCCACTAGAAGCTGGGATACTGACCACATCACCAACTAACTGCCCACTAGAAGCTGGGATACTGACCACATCACCAACTAACTGCCCACTAGAAGCTGGGATACTGACCACATCATCCACTCACTGCCCACTAGAAGCTGGGATACTGACCACATCACCAACTAGCTGCATAATAGAAGCTGGGATACTGACCATATCACCAACTAACTGCCCACTAGAAGCTGGGATACTGACCACATCATCCACACACTGCCCACTAGAAGCTGGGATACTGACCACATCACCCACTCACTGCCCACTAGAAGCTGGGATACTGACCATATCATCCACTCACTGCCCACTAGAAGCTGGGATACTGACCACATCATCCACTCACTGCCCACTAGAAGTTGGGATAATGACAACATCATCCACTCACTGCCTACTAGAAGCTGGGATACTGACCACATCATCCACTCACTGCCCACTAGAAGCTGGGATAATGACAACATCATCCACTCACTGCCCACTAGAAGCTGGGATAATGACCACATCATCCACTCACTGCCTACTGTGTGTGTATACATAACATGTCCAATGATGTGTGTACATAACATGACCAATGATGTGAGTGTATACATAACATGTCCAATGATGTGTGTGCATAACATGACCAATGATGTGAGTGTGTACATAACATGACCAATGATGTGTGTGTGTGTACATAACATGTCCAATGATGTGAGTACATAACATGACCAATGATGTGTGTACATAACATGACCAATGATGTGAGTGTGTACATAACGTGTCCAATGATTTGAGTGTGTACATAACATGACCAATGATGTGTGTGTATACACAACATGTCCAATGATGTGTGTGTATACATAACATGACCAATGATGTGTGTACATAACATGACCAATGATGTGTGTACACAACATGACAAATGATGTGTGTACATAACATGACCAATGATGTGTGTACATAACATGACCAATGATATGAGTGTGTACATAACATGTCCAATGATGTGAGTGTGTACATAACATGTCCAATGATGTGTGTACATAACATGACCAATGATGTGTGTGTGTACATAACATGACCAATGATATGAGTGTGTACATAACATGACCAATGATGTGTGTACATAACATGACCAATGATGTGTGTACATAACATGACCAATGATGTGAGTGTGTACATAACATGACCAATGATGTGTGTACATAACATGTCCAATTATGTGTGTACATAACATGACCAATGATGTGTGTACATAACATGACCAATGATGTGTGTACATAACATGACCAATGATGTGAGTGTGTACATAACATAACCAATGATGTGAGTGTGTACATAACATGACCAATGATTTGTGTGTGTGTACATAACATGTCCAATTATGTGTGTACACAACATGAACAATGATGTGTGTACATAACATGACCAATTATGTGTGTACATAACATGACCAATGATGTGAGTGTGTACATAACATGACCAATGATGTGAGTGTGTACATAACATGTCCAATGATGTGAGTGTGTACATAACATGTCCAATGATGTGTGTACACAACATGACCAATGATGTGTGTACATAACATGACCAATGATGTGTGTACACAACATGACCAATGATGTGTGTACATAACATGACCAATGATGTGTGTACATAACATGACCAATGATATGAGTGTGTACATAACATGACCAATGATGTGTGTGTGTACATAACATGTCCAATTATGTGAGTGTGTACATAACATGTCCAATTATGTGAGTGTGTACATAACATGTCCAATTATGTGTGCACATTACATGTCCAATGATGTGTGTACATAACATGAACTAATGATGTGTGTACATAACATGACCAATGATGTGTGTACATAACATGACCAATGATGAGAGTGTGTACATAACATGACCAATGATGTGAGTGTGTACATAACATGTCCAATGATGTGAGTGTGTACATAACATGACCAATGATGTGTGCACTAACAATGACCAATGATGTGTGCACGAACAACATGACCACTGATGTTTACATAACAATGCCAATGAATGTGTGCAC